ATGCTTGCCAAGACTTTGTGTGATGGAAGTGTGGTGGCGGTAGTGATAGTGCTAGTGGTAGTGGAATAGTAGTAGTCTAGTAGTAGTCATCGTGGTGGTGGTGGTGGTGGTGGTGGTGGTTCATCGGGGTCAACTGGGTCCTGAGATTTAGTGTGGCCCCCCTGTGCGGTTGCAATGGAAAGACCGGCTACGCTGAGTCCCTCTCTGCAACACGAGCCGTACGTCTGATTTCTGACTTCCGAGCCGCCTCCTTTTCTGGAAAAACATGGAGAAACCTTTTGCACCTGTTCCCTTTTGAGTGGCAAACCCATGGAAAGCAATTCTCCTGAAAGGTGATCTGCAGCTGATCCACATACTTTTTTGGTGTAGGTCATCACCCAGAGGCACACCGAATCGATTCGCCCCCCATTCGGGGGCCGAAGCCGTCGCGCTGTGGGAAGCGGCGTGCCCTTGCCGTGCTGCCCTTTCGCTGAACTGCTGTGGGCCGACACGTTTTTGGAGCCAAAACAGCGCACGTACGCTTCACAGCTACACAGGTGTTCTTGTGGCTTTTTGCGAATCAATTGGGCAAACCTTGTTTCACTGAGCTGCTGGTGAGCCTTGCGACTTGGCGTTTCTTTGGCCACAGGAGTGCGGGGAAAAATAACAAACAAACATACAAACAAAACTAAAACAACCGCTCTTTTTCCAGGTGCCAAGCTCCCCAAGTGCACTTCAGAGAGTCAAACAAACACACACACACAACCTCCTTCTAAAATGCTTGGAGCCGTCGCAGGGGAGGGGTCCAAAGCGTTCAAGGATAAGTAGCCTGGGTGATGTTAGATTGGCAAGTTGTAAACAGCACTGCACAGTTCCAAGAGAACACTTACCAAGGGGGGCTTTTCATTCCTACTCAAATGGTCTCCACCGCAGGTCACACTGTGTGCTGATTGGCCTTATCTGGAGGAAGCCTCCGAGCGGGGCGACTTTGCCGCGATGCTGGCGGAGTGGTTGAGCCGAATCACTTCCGATCGCGCGGGGGAGTCCTCCAACTGCTGCATCCTGTGGATGGCGTGGGGAACCCGCAGGGTTGCGGATGGCGATTTCGCCACGGTGATTCTGGGGGTTTCAAAAGGGATGGGGTTCTCCCAAAAGAATGAAACCATAGGCCTCCAGTCGTACCTTCTGAGAAGGTGGGACTGGGGTGGGTGCCATGTTCGGGTCCGGTCATCCCGAACCTGAGGAGGTACGACTGGAGGTGTAGGGAAAAGCATTGATGGCTTTTGGGGCGCTCCCTGGTGCACCCGAACTCTGCTTCCTGTGCGCCCCTGTCTTGCTAGTTTCAGTCTCAGTGTACTTACTCCAGACTCCTTCTGGGCTCTTGGCTACAATCCCGAGGTCCCGCAGCTTTATTGGTTGTGCGCACATGATTGATGGCAAAGTGGCGTTCTCACTCAACACGTTTGTCGCCCTCTAGACTCTAGCCCTTCTGAAGAACTGATGCCGCTGATGCCCAACAAAATCAAATCATTTCCAAGCTCTTCGCCATTCCCCACAGATGCTCTCCAAGCTCTTCATCCAAGGCTCTTCTTCAACTCATCTCCCAAAGACGGCAACTTCTCAATCTGCTCGTCGTTCATCTTCAGCTGCCGTAGTGCCGCATTCATGCGCTCCTCCAATCGAAATTCCATGGCCTGAAGCGCTCGCTGGCTGACGATGGGTGTGAGAAACTGGGATTCCCACACACCTTGGGACTGGCATAGTTGCTACACCATAGGGGTGGTTGCAAAGGGGGTTAATGTCCCAGGGTCATCCTGTCTGGGTGTCCTGGCTAGACTCCCCTACGCGTATAGGTCTCCAAACAGGGCACCCGACCCATTGGAAGTGTTTGATTGAAATGATCGAAATGAAACACCTGGGATTGGTTCCTAGGTTTCTTCAACCACGCCCGGGGGGGCCCCCCCTGTCCCACGGCGTAGACCTTCCCCCGCCAAACGGACCACGTGGACCCTGAGAATTGGCCGTGGACCCTGGGGGTTTCAGGTGGTCCCCCTGCAGTGTGAGTCAGTTGAGGGACGTGCATGCACGTCCCTTTGGCGAAACCGTGACCGAAGCCTTTAGGTATAGTACCCAGACGCGACCGCCATTCTGGGAGAAACGGCCGATCGGGGTGGTGGTGCCAGGGGGGTCTGTCTGGGGCGGCAGTCCTATGGCAGTCCCATGGAGTGTATGGGATGTTCCACCCTTCAGGAAACATGTTAGGCATCTCAATACAAGGCATTCCATATCATTCCATTGACTGGGCAAAGCATCAGCAGTTTGAAGTAGGCATAATTAGGTCACATTTGAAGGATGACCCACAAGTACTCCTGGTAGCTTTGTGGATTCGCCATGCTCGCCACTGCCCTTCTCTCCCAAACACTCCATGGAGTATGTCCAAAGGTATTTGGAACTAGGCTGCTGAGGTTACATGGATCCATGGATTTTTAAGGCCAACGATGCCAGTTTCATGGGGTGTCTCGGATCGACGTAGTTATATAATCACGTCGTCTCCTGTTGTCAAGAAGGCGTCCTCAAGGCATTTCTCAACCAATGCTCTATGGCCAATCCTCTTTGCCGCGTCTCCAAGATTTGAGACATGTATGTTCATGTCCAGTCTGCACTTGCCATAGGATATTTTTTCACACGCGATGCCGATCGGCATGTGATTGAACACCGCAGCATTTGCGGCTGCAAAGTGTCAATCATCCTTGGGCAACACCAAAGGGATGCCCAAACACATGCAAACCATTTTCCTGCGAAGCTGAGCAACGAACTCAATCCGCTCAATCGGATTCATGCAACAATATGCAACATCATGCGACTGAAAAACAAAACAGGCCGACTGGCCCACTGAGAAAAGGAAACAACAAACACCAGCCCTACACCTCCAGCCGTACCTCCTCAGGTTCGGTATGACTGGACCCTCCTGGCACCCACCCCAGTCCCACCTTCTCAGAAGGTACGACTGGAGGCCAAACGGGCAACTTACAACCCTTCCGTACCGCAACAACGCCGACACGCACCCCCAAAAGTGCCGACTCGCAGCTCGCATGTTCTCCAGGACTTTGAAAATGGACCGCTCTTTGGCGTGCGCAGACTCATCCTGCCGGACTCGCTCATCGCGTCGAGAAGGAGAAGGAACGAACAGGGTGGGACTCCGTGGAAGGACGTCGCGAAGAGGAAGGCGTTCGACGATCGTTCGACTTCAGGCACGAAGCTTCCAAGATCGTTGATTTTGTAATGATGCCCTCCTAGCCAAATCAATCTGAGCCGGTGGGCAAAGTCTGACCATCTTGAAAACCGTTCGAGAAAAGAAAAAACAACTTGCCACGGATCGGGCTCTGTTTCGTGGTCGAGCTGGTTGCTTGGGGGATCAATGCTACATATTCCAGGCCAATGAAAGTCCTTGGATGTGAGTTGGGTAGCTGAATGACGGGTATGATGGTATTAGGATTTGACTTGTCACTGGCACCTTGTGTCTTGGCCAAACCCTCCATGTATGGCGTGTATATGGCATATATTTAGAGATGTGTGTGTGTGCGATCTACTCTACCTGGGCGTCGTATGGCGTCATCGGCTGGTGGAGCATCGATCGGTACGATCTATGACTGTTGATTAATCGACTACATGGAGATGTAGAAAATGATTATAAATGGAGATGTTGTAGAAGCACCCGGTTGATATGTAGACTATATGAAGATGTTGATGAATAGACTATACAAATGACTATATGGAGACTATATATAGATTTTGTAGAAGCACGCCAGGTAGGGGGGGTCATTATTAAACAACAGCCCCTGATTCATCATGATTCCTTCGTTTGTCCAGGTTTTGGTTCCCTTCATGGTCTACCCGGTCTACCCATGTCTACCCCGGTCCCGGCACATCTCGCGTTGATTCGTTGATTCGTCCGGGTGCCTTCTCACCACCGAACCACCAAACCACCTACCCAGCACCAGCACCGAATCAGCACCGAGCACGGACACCAAAACAGGCCACGGACGTCGAGCACGTTCGGAGGGCGGAAGGTTCCACGCCTGGAGCATGGTGAGGAATTGCTTGTAGAGAATCACGCTTCCCTCCTCCTTGCTCTTGTAACTGGCGCAGTGCAACCTTGGCACAAACCCGCCCAGCGCGGTTGATTCCTCTAGGACCGAAGCTGTACTCTAACACCGGTGCTTTTGTATTTACCGTGGGGACTGGCTGTGGGTCATGGAGCCAAAGCAATCCGACCAGTTGACCACTTAAACATGAACAAACAACCTGCCGCGAAACGGGCTCGACCAACTCTGGACACACAGCGTGCACACTATCAGAGTGATCTGATAGGTGCAGTAATTCTACGAAGGCCTCCTGTTTCGTTTCACTAGGTAAACGAACTTCAGTCAACTTGCTGCGCGAAGATTCTTTCCATGGCCGGTTTTAAACAACATGGCAGCCTGCTGTCAACCCAAATCACTTGGAAGGTGCAGCAGAAAGGGCGTAGCGAAACTATTGGACACCACGATTTCAGTGCCCAGAGAATCACTCCAACAAAAAATATCAGTGGCCCATTCTCCTCTGTACCCTTCTCCACTTGGATATATGGGTAGAGCGCTCCCAGCCACCTCAGAAGGTAGGGACTGACCCCCAAAAGAGCACCCATATCCCGACCACCAAAACCGGTGTTGGACCGCCAACTGCTTGGCATTCCGATCCTCCAAGTGGCATCTCCACTAGATCCTTAGGAGCGCGGAGAGGCCGTGGCCTGCGATCCCCGAGCAGTGTGGGGGAGTGGAAGGAGTTGGGCCTGAAAAGTGGAATGGGAGACCGAGAAGGAACAGAACACTCCCTTGAACAAAGACTCATGGAAGTGGAGAAGGTTGGGTTCCTGAAAGAGATCTGTTTTCTTCCTTTCTCAGCTATTCCAGGTCAGCTTCGGTCCATGGGTCGGCGCCCTGCAGGGCGAAGCCGATGGCGAAGCCGACGGCCGAACAAAGTCAAGGCACTGAGGCATCATGCAATCCTGCTGCCTCACAGAGTTCCGCCTGGAGGTCTAAGTCACTCAGAAGCCTCGCGGGAGCTCGGTCAGAGCGCGGCGACGCTCGCGCGCTCCAGCGCTTTAACAAAGCGCTCCAGGGATGTCGATGGAAAGGATGGTGCTGAAAGGTATGCGCCCCGGACGATTCACATGGAACCTGATTCTGTCGACGTATGGGAAGACCGTTTTCCTCACCAAACACCCGTGGTTTTCCCACGCGTTCCATGTGGGTCTCGTTCTCAAGGGTAGGGCCAGAGCCTTCGCCCCGCTGGAAACCCATCTGACCCTGAAAAGCCATCCGACTCGGATCGGGGTGTGACATTGGGAGTGCATCTGCTTAGAAGCTCCCTGGCCGGAGTTTTGGGCCACACCTACGGGCCCTTTGATGGGGGCCATTGACATATCACAACGAAGCAAACGCCTGCCAGCAGTCACAGAGGGGTGCCTATTGGAGGATAGGGGTGCCCAAAACATCCACTCACTGGATGGGACTAAACTCCACCCAACTCCATATGACTCCTGTATGAATCACCATCTTGAGGATCGAGCTCTTGGGGAATGTCCTTGCCCCACAGCCAAATGCCAGGCTTTTTTGAAGGGAGACATTCCAACCCTCCAGGTTCCAAGGGCCTAGTTTCGATGCCTCAAAAAGGCTTCCTGGCCTACCATTCGTTCAATAGCCCGTACCGAACAACCACATGTTTTATAGAGCCTTCACGGGCTTTACACGAACAGTGCCTGTCATACATCCAAATACCAGGTTCCACCGAACTCTTTTTTCAGGGTCGCTACGGGAAGCTTTGCATTGGGGTAGCTCTGCACTGACTGACCCATCATCCGGTCACCCTCCACCGTGGACACCGCGGTCTCGTCCCTAAACCGGGGCGGAGCTACTGGCGCATCTCGTCCTCGGTGATGGAGCCACTGTGATCTTCGTCCAGCCTCCTCAGATCCGCGCGAGGCGTTCCAAAGGCGCATTCCGAGGGTCAGAATAGAAATCAAAAAGCACATGCCCATGCCCTCACAAGAAAAACACGGTCACAATGTATAAATAGAAGCTAAACATGAAATAAGGTTTGCTTTGGCCTTACTAGTTGTTAAGGCTTGCTAAATTATTCTGAGACATGACATGTTTCATTGTCATCTGTTGATGATGTGCCTTACAGCCTAACTCTGAAAATCTCAAGTGGATTCATTAAAAAAAACTCTTGCGCTTGCCGTCGACAGTTGTCTGTAGCCTCTTTGTTCAGAATGCGCTCATCAAAAAAAAAACAAAAACAATGCAAAAAAACACACTCAGAAATGATCACCAGGAAATGCCCCCCAAAGGGCACCGCAAACGCACCGCAAAAGCGAACAACACGCACCAAAAACATGCACCAAAAAACGAACCAAATCACACACCCCACCCGTTTTTGTGCGTATTTGTTTGTGATGTTTGTGCGTTTTTTGATATGTGCGATGGTCTTTGCATGTGTTTTTTTCATGTTTTTTGTGATGTGCTTTTTTTTTGCGTTTTCCCAAGGAAACGCACAAAGAACAACACAGCAAACAGAACGCAAACACATGCAAAGGCAAAGACCAGAACGTTTTTGATCGCATTTGTTGTGACTGTTAGTTTGAATTTGTGTGTGCATTTTTGTGGCATTTGTTGTGACTGTTTTTTTTGCATTTGTTTAGTGGATCCGGACAAATGTGGTGTTTTCGCATTTGGTTTGCATTTTTGTTTGCATTCCGACGTTTCCCTGGGTGACTTGGTTTTTGCGTTTTCTGTAGTAGTATAGATGGCTGAATTTATATTGGATGTCAACATGTTCATAGATCTTCACAGTAGGCACTTCATATTCATATCATGCCATCTCTCTCCATTGTCTTTGAAGGAAACCAACCCAGCTTGCAAACAACACCGCAAACATATAGTGTCAGGATTCTCGAAGTGGGGCTCATTGGCAATCATGGAGAATGAGACTAGTGAGCCCGAAGAACATCGAATGAATTACTCCCAAACGCTCCATATACAGTGGGCCATCAGAGGTGAGAAATGCCACTGGCACCCCAAAATGACGTGGACAAACGGGGGTCCATAAGCCACCAAACTTGGTGAAACTAGTGGCATCGAACCTCTCTAGGCCCTAGGCCATGTTGGGTGCTGAGCATCTGGGACCTGATGGTGCTATTCACTGGTGCTGACCCTCAGTTTGTGGCAGCCCAGCGCCAGGGCTAAGAACCATCGCTGGTTCCTTTCCGAAGCACAAGGTTTATCAGCACCCCTCTGAGAGATCTCCCAGAATAAGCTCGGTTGGGACCCGAACATGACCTCGAAATCGCTACGTCCAATCACCGAATACCATACGGGGACCCCAAGGCCATGGACACCTCTTGACCTCTAAGGGGTGTCAAAAATGGACACCCCGAATCCGTGGTGCTGGTACGATGCCACATGTTCCCTCCCAGACTGGTTGCTTCTAAATTGGAATCTCCCAAAACGAAACCACCTAGATCTACCACTCACCTAGCCTGTACTCCTATACTTACTGCCGCTCAAACCCAAGACTTTGAAACTTCTTGAGACGGAGTGGAATCCACCGGCGCCACCGCGAATCCGGGCGGCTGAAAGATCTGCGTGATCCGACGCTTCGCCATCTCCGCGCGGTCTTGCATCGACCTGTCGAGACGCGAACTGGCGCGAAGTGGGCGACGTGGGCGGCTGGATGGCGGAGACCTGTGGGATGCGGAGAAACACATGGAAGAAACACATGGCATGCTGTTGATGTAAACCCTGCATTTAAAAGAACATGTTGAGCTGGTGGTGTAGTGTAAAAATCCTGAGTAAAACAATAGTTAATTGGTAAAGACCATGAAACAGATCAAAACTAATGGTAGATTGAATCCTATAGGGTTTATATTGTGTCAAGGAGGTGGTGCCATCCCCACGATCATTTATCATGATTTCAGGGATGGAGGAAGTTCCCAGCCCTATACCCGACTTCTCTCACTAAATCTGAGGAAACAAGTTGGCGAGTCGCCAGCCCTTTTCGATCATCTTCTCGAACCTTTCCCTCAAACAAAAGGAATCACTGGCCTAACCTTCTTCCAACCAGAAGCACCCTGACCAGACGGTGTGTGTGGAACACATATGCCATGGGTCCAATCAAACCACCCTGACAGGGTGATGCTGCAACGCTGCTGGAACATGCTGGAATTGTAAACTCTTATCTCACCATGCCATGCACTTGATTATGCCCAAATCCATCTCTCATCATATCTCCATCCTACAGTCCCTTCCGCCCTTCCACCCCGAAACCAACGCCGGATCCGCACGTATTGCTCGGTTCTGGCGGCCATACCGGTCTATCCTTGGGGCGCGTGCCTCTTCCGGTCTTCCTCCTCCTTGGTGCGGGACACCGTCATCATGTTGTCGCTGATGACCTCGAACCCCGGCCGGCCAAACCCGGCGCCCGCTTTCTCGGTTCCCGTCGCGGTGGCGAGGTCGCACGGTCGGTGCCATGGCACCACAGAACTATGAGGTCACCGACCGGGTGGAGAAGTCGACCTATAGAGCTATAAGACCTGTAGGAGACCTGTAGACCTATCGTGAAGATGGATGAAACGAAAAAGCCTCCAGGCTTCCAAAAAAAAGTTTCCAAAAGCACCAAGAACCTGCTCACAAGTCGGGTGCCCCACAAGCCTCCAGATCGATCTCTGGATCTGAAGGTCCATATCGGATGAGAGGCCGAGATCGAAACCACCAGCAGAGGTTGAAGAACCCTAGTTCGCCTATCCTATAGGTACCCCTGTAGGGTCCTATTTACGGTCACTTAACCTCTGTAGGCATGTCTGAACCCTGCCCACCATTTCCTATGGATCCAGTCGTACCCTTTGAGAAGGGACTGGAGTGGGTGCCAGGAGGGTCCAAGTACCTTTTGAGGAGGTACGACCGGATCCCTACTGGTGCCCGTTGAAGTTAATACATTTTGCATGTGGGATACTAAACCACCATGGAACGCCGATTTGCAAAAGTCAGTACTTAAGTCAAGACTGCTGGCCTTCCCCATTGTAAACGCTACATACAGAACAAGGTTCTCCAGATTCACCTTTCCAAAAAGAGAAAACTTCAACTGCAAATCCCAATGGCAACGCAAGTTGGAGAGCTACCCGACGTGGTAACTTACCCCATCGCACATGAACTTGACCCACCCCCATGGCACACCGCTTACCCCACGAATGTAAGAACTTACCCCATTTGAACAAAATGGCACACCGCTTCCAGACAAGCACTTTTTCTCCTAGATTGTTTCTAAACCTACACTATTCCATTGCGATTCAACCTTCATCAACCTTCTACATGTTGATGTTTTCAAAGGTTATCTATGGGTTGCCGTGATCCAATCCCCATGGCACCCCGATTCTGACCCACATGTTGGTACCAGCTTTAAGTTTCTACCTGGAGTGCAAACAGCATGGAATGGTTCGTTAAACGTCAGAATATCTATGCGTTCTTATGTGTATTCCTCTCTCAATCCCCATGGCACACCGCTTCGAAACAAGCACTTTTTCTCCTAGCCTAGATTGTTTCTAAGCCTACACCATTCCATTGCGATTCAATCTTCTACACGTTGATGGGACAAGCGTTTCACCAAACAGGCCTGCCACCAAGCTTGATATCACGTTTCCAATGCCCAGTCTGCAATGGAAGAAGCCTGCTATAATCATAGGGCGTGCAAGACAATGACAGGCAGCAAATGAGTAGGCCTTGTAGCCCAGGTCGCAGCAGCGGCAGCGACAAGCAGCAGCAAGCAGCAACAAGCAGCACCAGCAGCAGCCAAGCAGCAAGCAGCAGCACCGGCAGCAATCAGCCAGCAGCAGCAGCAGCCAACCAGCAGCAAACCAACAGCAGCCAACCGCCAGCAGCAGCAGTAGCCAACCAGCAGCAGCAAGGCAGCAGCAGCAGAAAACCAGCAGCAGACCGGCAGCACCAGCGAAGGTAGCCCAATCAAGCTTTCCCCCAAGGGCACACCTCATCTGGCACAAGTTCATGCCACTCAATAGTGTGCCCGCTTCACAGCGGAAGCCAGGTTTCCACGCGGACCCTGCTTCCGAGGGTTGGCCCTATAAGCCCTTGGAGGGTTGGACATATGAGACCCACAATCCCAAGATGAAGGGGAACCTATGGGCTGCCTATAGAAACCTCTAGAAACAACCTATGGGTTGCCTGCCAACTTCCTTGCGGTAGGTCTTGTGCAATCAAAACACTGTGAACGCTGAGTAAACCAAGCCCATTGAATAAAACCATGCATTTAGAAAACATCTTCCAACACACTCTATCCTGCAAGGAAACGCTATAGTGTATCGACTTCCTGGCTTGCTCATCACCTTCTATCTGCTATTTGCAAAAAAACACGTCTCGACTTCAACAACTGGCAGTAGGGATTGGAGATCGACCCTCCACGCGAGGTCGCACCGCCAGTCACGTCACGTCACGTCAGGTCCTGACGTGACGTTCCTCGTTTCACGGCCGTGTGCCGGGGCCGTTCCGGTTGGATTGGGACACTTCGTCTCTACCAAAAAGACCTATAGTGATCGAGTACAGTATGCGACCAAATGACACATGCAGGGCCAGGGCTAAAGAAAGGAACCCTGCGGGTGGTGTGCATTGACTTTCGACCAGACGTTTGCACTTTTGCCCCGCGAGGTTAAGGTCACCAGCTTGTGGTTAAGGTAACCAGCTTGTGGTTAAATGCCTGTTTCAGTATTGACATGGTTTTTGGTTCAGGAGTCCGGGTCGGACTTCCTCTTTCAGGAAGAGAGGGAGAGCAAAGATCAATGAAACACCGGTTGTTCACCTGGCTCCCTGGCTTCCAGCGAAGGCCTGAAAGTGCTTGTACAGCTTTAGCAACGTGGCGGTGGCAAAAGCAAAACGCTGGCTAGACTGTTTGACCCACCTTTACTTAGCTAAGTGGCAGGTCCGATGATGAAAACCTCCCAAGGCTGCTCAGCAAAAACTGAGGGGCATCAAACACATTCAAAAACCCTTTCCAAACATCAGGATGTCGCGCCGCGAGTCGCGCCGGTCGCTTGACCAAGAAGCAGAGGTCAGGATGGCAAGCATCATCCAGTTGGAGAGCATCATGAAGGCATAAAACAAGATCTGGCCACCTGTGAAGCACAAGAGGCGTTTCCCGTCCATCATCCGTCCATCCTGGCCCCAGTTTGTGTCTATTTTCCAGTGAGTTGACTGTCCACCTTGTGAGAATGTATGAAACAAGGAAGCACCAGGTCATCTTAAGAGAACTTCTTCAAAGCAGTGTTGCAGCTCAGGTCCTCTTATACCAGGGCTCCCTGGGCCAGGGTGTCCAAGTAGGAACTCCTTAGAGGTGAATGGGTGTCTATTAACCACCCCAAACAGGGGGGCCCCTGGTGCTTGTCTCTCATGTTACACATGTTTCACTCATCAAAGGTGTCCACCGGCACCTGCGGCGCCATGCTGGACGCTCGTCTCGGTCGTTTTCGCAAAAGGCTCGTGGAGCCGGCATAGAACCACTGACGTGGATTTGCTGAAGGAACAAAGAACATAGGGGTGCTGTCACACAGGGGTGCTTCATGAAGGTTAGGGGCGTTTGTCCACTCACTGAGGGACTAAACACCACCCCTTTGTGACTCCTGGTGCAATGTTGTGTAATGTTGAATAATGTTGAATATAATATTGGTGACCTCCAACAAGCTGTTTGGAGACCCGACCGCAGGTAGTGAATTTGGGCGCCGGACTTGTTATTAGGAGGCACCTGTTGGAGGGTGCTGGTATAACAAGAGCAAGAGGGACCTGAAAAAGCACCATACTGAGGTGCCGTGAGGCACCTTTAGTAAGTCTATAGGGACCCTAGGGAATCCAAAAAGGGTTCTTCCACCTCTGCTGGGAACCCCAAACTATCCCCTTCTAGACGGATTCACCCAATTCTGGACCAGGACCCTTTCTCCGCCAACCCACCACTGACCACCCTGGAATCACAAGAAAATCGCGGTCGTTCTTTGGACTGGCGGCCGATGGTGGTAATGATCTGGGTGACCACGGACTGGTCATCGTTCATGAGCTTAAAGAGTGCCAGGAACGATCCTTAGCAGACTCCTTCAGCGAACCCGAAGAAACTCGCGACCACTTGGACTGACAATTGCCTCCTTCACCCCCTCACTCTCTCCCCAACTCTTCGAAGTTCAGGCCCCAAGAACCGGCCCAACTCTCTCCCCAACCGTCACTCTCACTCACACTCAATCTCACTCACACTCACACTCACTCACTCTCTCTCTCTCTCTCCCCACCCGTCACCTCTGGAAGTCGAACGGGATCGAAGCCTCCCTCTCCTCGCTGCCCGCCCAAGGAACGCCACACGGTGCCGAAGTAAAGCATGGCCTCATCGGGCACGTCCTCCGGATCCTCGACCAGTGCGACCAAACCGTGCGAGGCTTCGACCGAAGTGAGACCGGTGAGTGCCCTGCGGCTGCTGCGTCTGACGTCTTGGGGCCCAGACCGTACCCATGACAGTGGGTGGTTGAATCAAGGGGTCCATGTAATCCGGGATATGATCATTCATATTCCGGTGTGCGTTTCCATGGTGTGCCTTGAGGCCCTGCATTTCATAGTGGAAATGGTCACGAGGATATATACATGTTGATGATATGACATTTTATAGACGATTTCCGTAAACCGGGGCGGCTCTGCTGTGCTGTGTCGGCGACTGTCCGAGAAGTTCAGTGTTGACCCTAGGGATCCAGTGGTACCTTCTCAGAAGGTAATTGGAGACTATTGATGTAGGCTTGGAGGGCCCAGTCATACCTCCTGAGAAGGTATGTGGATCTCTAGGGATTGACCACTGACTTAAGAGCTCTTGGATCATCCGGGTACGACAGATGCTGTGAGTAACGTGCCTTCCACTCATCATAGATCATGCGGTTCGCGTGGTTGGTGAGGGTTTATTCATTTATTTGAAGCGCTGAAAGCACTGGTGGCATCATATTACATGGCAGTGCGGAATAGTTTGGGCCAATTGAATCCATGTTCTTGGCCTACACTTCAATCTAAAATACCACGCTCCTCTTGCGTCCTTGTTGGCACCACTTAGGCTTGTAGGGGGGCCTGTTAGGTGGAGAAACCCATATTCGTTCATCTATTCCCTACAAGTCCAAAGACCCAGTAGAACCTGGTCTTTGACCTCCTTAAGTATTGGTTTTGTATGACCATCTCCAGTAAAATGAGGTCTTTGACTTGTAGGGATTGGTTAACAGTATCAATCCATGTGGATTTACCGCGGCCTGTGGCCCGTTGCTGTCTCCATGCGCATGGCTGTCGACGTTTGTTGTTCCAACTTTGGCACACGAGATACGAATGAGCGGATGGTCGCCTCTCGCAATGAGATGCAACGATGTTACACGTGAAAAAAAGCCAAGAAACCAGAACTGTACCACAATAGATCGCCACGATCACTGTGCAGTGCAGCCAACCAAAACGCCCTGCCTTTCCCGTTCCGTGGTTCCCTCCCGCGGTCTTCGACCGCCGTCGAATCCACCGTCCCTCTCTCTCCGGAATCGGCGTGGAATGGCGCCTCGTAGATGTAGCCGCGGCCCACGAGGGTGGTAAAGACCAAGGAGGCCGAGTATAACCTGGGTGCGCGACCGATCCCGTCACGGCCCCGAGACGACGTGGTCACGTCTGCAGTCTGCAGAGGAGGTCAAGGGGTGTCCATTCACCATCGGTTTTGGAGGTCCATGGTGTTTAAAGCCGTTGAAAGCCATCAGGCTTGACCAGTATAGCTTTGAGGTCCTAGATTCTCGCTGTTCTGATCAATTCTGGCACCTGTTGATCTTTGTTGTTCTAGCAGACTTGGGGGAGTGGCTCGCGCCCCAAGCCCCCGTCCGAACCCCCCCCCAGCCACCAAAACCAGGTTCAGAGCTGCTCCACAGACATTTAAAACAACAGCCCATGATCCCACCCCTTGACGCTCCAGGTTTTTCACAGGTGGCCAGCCTAGGAACACCACCCTATTTACCAGTCATGTAGGCCACCCACTGGGCCGTCCCGCGTTTGGGCTCGATTCACACCTCAAATCACCCCCCCTCACTGTGACCAATATACCGTATGTCGAGGCTGCATCATCTCGGCACACCGCCCAGGAGCTGTCCTGGGTGTCCTGCATGGACTACCCAGCCCATGACTTCGCGGGAGACTTCGGGGAGGCGCCGTGCGCCGCGCCGTGCGCCGAAGCCGAAGCCGTGCGCTGCGCCCAGAAGCAAAATGAAGGTCAAGATGATGACCCATCCAACACTGGCCATGGACTCCACGACTCCGTGAATCAACCTAGAGAGAGAGAGAGGGAGACGAAAAGAACCTGGACCAGGACCCTGCAAGGGGTGTCCAATGGACTACCCCACACTACCTCTAGGCTTCCATTGGGCACCCCTTGGAGGGTCCTGGGAGAGAGAGAGAGAGAGACGTTTTTCTTCATGGCCTTATTTGGGTCCCAAATGTGTACCACAAGAAGGGGCCCAGTTCAGGTCTCTCGACTTCTCGAAGAAACAAAGAAAGAAGCACTCGATCCGAGCGCGGAGCTACCGGACCTGCGTTGTCATGTCATCCCATGGGTCAAATTGCCCTCAAAGGGATCTGCTTATTCGGAATAACTGATATTTCAACAGGAGAGCCTGTGCTTAGACCAACCACGGACCTGATAACTTCTTTGCGCTCCCACGAATCTCGAGAACATGAAAAACAAAAAGGCTAAGACGCCCAGAACGCCTTTGCGCTTGTGGTTTTGGTGGTCATCTATCATTCAACTACTGCCACACTGCAATAATTACTCACCTCAATCTCTGCTTCCTTTTCCGCCACCACCCGGTGGAAAGGACATGCCCCATCAAGTAATGCGTCAGCAGGGGTGAAAGAGAAACTCCAGCACTATAGCTCCGGCCCGGCACATGCGGAGAAGTCTTCCACCGCGCTTGAGGATGGTGGTGTTACAGGTAGAAAACTCCAAAAATATATCCCCCTAAGTGCTCCTGGACCCTCATATGGAGGGACCTGTTCCTTAGTTGGAGGGGTCGTTTTGATCTCAAATCCCCAGTTCTTGAGGGACCTGTCAGGCTGTTGTTTTCTCGTCTGGGCCCTTAAGATATCAAACGTCCGGCAGCGGTTCGCGCTTGGCCTTGCCTTAGGGGAGGGCGGTTGTTCCAAGACTTTAGAACAACATGGTCCAGCTGTGGAGCACAATGCTCGGGCATGCTCTCCAGTACCATTTGGAGTAGCCCCCAATATAGAAGTTGTTTGATTACCACCGTTTTGTCATTTCGTATTTTCTCCAGGACAGGTCTATATAGATCTATAGAGGACACATTCCATTTGAACGTCCTTGCGTTTTCTGCACAGGGGCTCCATCCCACCCACCCACCCGGCCGCGGAGCTTGTAGAGCTGCTTGACGCCCCGCAGGAGCCGCGCGAGGCGCAGCACCCGGAAGACGCGGACGATGCGGAGGGACCGGACCAGGCTCATGGAGATCGAGGTGGAGGAGGTCGCACCTGTTTCGGAGTCTGATCCAGTCGTACCTTCTCAGGTTCGGTACGACTGGACCCTCCAAACCTACATAACAGTGCCTCCAATCACCTTCTGAGAAGGTACTTGGATCCCTAGGGAGTCTCCTCTTCTCCTCTTCTCGGATCCGGGATCTGCCCGGGCATCGGGCTGCTCGGGCAGAAGGGATCGAGCGTGCCGGATCCCGTTGGCTGGTGAGGACCAAAAAGAGGGCCAAGTTTAAAGAGAACCGTGCAAGTTTGGGTGGCAGGTGTTGCCAAATACGCGGATGGCAATGGCTCCTTTGGAGGGCCTTTGTCCTCTAGAAACCAGTGGCTCTGCGATTTTCAGCCTTGGATTCTCAACACCTTCTGCCTCAAAAAGCAAGGACGGCACACCCAGTGACACAAGGGGGCCCAAATGAACATGCCACTTGTCCCTTCCTACATGTCCCTACCTAATTTATAAGAGTACAGTGAATACTCACCGCACTGATGCCCCAAAAAAGCAGAGATCACAGTTCCACGAAACGGTGGAAGCATCCACTTCACATCCCAAAAGCAAAAATCGTACAAATGAACTCACCAAACCAACACCCAGGTGAGCATTCAGTCTACCAGCACCCTCATACTGGATCCAAACTGGCCGTTCAACCGCACGCGATTCCTCCCCAGCTCAGCCACCAAAGAGTGTGTGGTAGATGACGTGCCACAAGGGCAACATCCACTGCTCCGCCACTCCGAACAGGACGATCACAAAATCGAGATAATGCCATGTCCAATTCTCGTGGACAAAGTACCTTCTCAGAAGGCGGTCCCTGTCCCAGGTCCCACGCATGAGGAGGGCTGGGACCTTGGATATATACCACTCTCCAAATCGACGTGGGGAAAGCCACCCCTCTCCAACATCCGGCAGGTCCCATCAGTCGCATCGACGTGAGTCTCGATATGACCTTCGATGTCTCGGCGGGCCGCGTCGTGTGGTTGACCCAGCCGCATGGTGTGGTGCAGAAGTCCGTGGGCCGTAGACATGAATGTGCACGGTTGATGAATTCCCTCTGAACATCTCTAAACAAGGTTTGCACACCCAAGACCAGGCCTGACCAGGCCTGGGCGAAGTTGATTCAACAAGACTTGAGACCGTCTTGTTAAACCCACTATATACTACTATTTCAAACTGTCACTGATTCCTAACAAACTACACTCGCCCTAGGCCTCCAAGTACCTTTTGAGGTGTTTGGGGCGGGTTTGGAGGGTCCAAATACCTTCTGAGGAGGCACTTGGAGGTGTAGGGTCGCTACTAACTACTCTCCAAGCTCTCCAACTGATTTTGGACTCTGGAACCTGAAGCCTCGCTTGTGCAAACCTGAAACCTCCAGGTATCCAACTGGCATCCACTGATCATCCACTTTTCCCATTCTTGATGTCCACTTTTTCACAATTATTGTTTAAATGCAATTGAAAGGTGTGATCACTTTTCAACCTGGCTTGGAGCCAAAAAGGAACGTGAACCCGTGTGTTTTGCAATTCCGGTGGCTCCTCATGTAAAAGAAACACATGAATACCCAGCCAGTCTGTAATCCCATCGAATCCAAAAAAAGCGGAGACTCCTGCACGTATAATGTGTTACACCTTTTTGTGCCGTAAAATGGGATGGTTTTGAAAACCGGTGTTTAATTTAAAGTGGTTTTGCCACGTGCTTGATCGTTGTTGGCATGTGCCGCGATATACAATCTCTCTTCTGCTCACTGCTCACTGTGTGGAAAAACAAAGCCGTGTAAAAGAAGCAAACAAGTATCGTTGCGTCGTCCCAAAAACGCTACACTTTGTGTATAATAGAATGCTTTTGAGGATGTGGTATTTGGAAGATCCTCGATTACCAGGTAAAACAGCCGTGTTTTTGTCGGGGTGCTATCCATGGAGGAAGTAATAATGCCACGTCCCACTTACTGCATGGGACTATAAAACACCACACCACCCAAATCCACCCAACTCCATGTCATGTGACTCCAGGTGTAACCAATTGTATATGAACCCACCCTTCAGGCCCTTCTGCGGCCCCCTGGCTCTCGGTGCACGCTGAGGTGCCCACAGCCGTAGTAGAGCAGGCGCACAGAGAGCTCGAAGACATAAACGACCAGGAAAAACTCCTCGACCCACTTCCTGAGGCGAAAACAAAAAGCAGCACCGAACCAACAGGTCTCCGACCTGGAGGCTTTTGTAACTGAAAAGTCGTAGGTAGTGACCTGTTGGAAGGTCCTGGGATGGGCTTAGTTGGATCAGTGTTGTTCGTTTTCTTTTCTTTTCCTCTAGGCTTGTGCAACACATTTTTCACAACATGATTCCAATGCACACGCCAAATAATACATGTCTTATAGCATATTTCGAGGCACTGTCTCTTTTTGGAAAGTTTAGTGGCAGGTTCAATATTTCAATGCCAGCCTTCTGGCAGTTTCACCCTTCAAACAGGCCCGAAGATCTTTCTGTGAAGGTTGCTAAGAGATCCCCAGAAAAAAATCTCTCAACCCCTCTCAATTCTGATGATTTCTTGGAATTCACACTATGTCTGAGGGGATGACCTCACCATCTATAAGGCGGATGGGACAGCACGTGTCGGACGGCACACCTTTTTACATATGCGATGAACCGTTTGAACGACCCTTTTGTTACCAAGTGTCCAAACGGGGAGCGGGTAGTCCAACTCCAGCCACATTACAATGGCATTGAGCACAATGACCTCGGCGCTTCCGTGAGTGAAAAGGCATTGAAAGGAATAAACGAAAAACACCACCACCGCCGATGTCGATGTATTGAGATAAGCGGGGGCTATAGAAGAGATCTGATCATTGGTGATTCCTTGGAAGTCCCAGATAAGTTTAATAGTTATATTTGTTTCCAGGGCATCTCCATATGAGGGTGTGACCTCTGCTTTGGGGGGTTAGTCCATGAGCATCTGCGTGGATCTTCATCTTCTGGTTGAGGCGTGCTGTGATGGTCTACCAACCATCTTTCCTCAAACTCGTTGAATTCGTCCACATTCTGAGTGGGACTTGGAGACGAAGTCATCGAAATCCAACCAACAAATCAACATAGCGCTTCCTTACAAAGTGCCCTTCATGGAGACCGCTATACGTCGGGCCCGGTCAAACAGGAAGCAGCTGGATCCTTGTTGAAGGTAGCGCCTTTCCGGTCAGATCACCGGACTTGCGGAAGGAAACTCCACTGCCGTCCGGTCCGTAAGCCCACCATTCCCGGCTCCGCCGCCGCGGAACACGACAGACCTGAGAGACAAGGCACGGACATCATGGCGGTCTCCTGAGTGGGAGACAGAAGCTAGCGACGACAGCACGCGCAAGCGGCGTGTCCCGGCGTCCGGCGGACGGATTGAGGGTCAAAACGGGTCAAAACCATGCATAGAATGATGATCGAGTTCTATCTGCATGGATACCAACTTACTAGTAATATACGTCCTATGACATGTGTTGAAACCTTATGGATTGTATTTGCCTCTCGAAAGCAAAGCGAAAAGCCTCTCTCTCTCGCTCGCTCGTTCCGGATGTGTTTGTTTGTTCCGAGGGGCGAAGGCGGGATGCTGGGTCCAGCTGAGATCACTCTGCACCAAGAACCGCAAGAGCTTGAGCCCCCGGGCGATCCGCGCCAGTCGGAGCCTCGGCGGAGGCGGAGGCTAGGAGGCTAGGCGGCCAGGCCCGAAAGGACCATCGTGCGGAAGGTGTGGTTCGGTACTTCTGATGCTTCAAACAATAACATCAAATGACCCCTACTATAGAATACCCTCTTAAGATACTCTAGACTCTGGGAATCTAAATGATAGGGGAAATAATGGGAAATCATATGCAGTATGCACTAAGCTCCAGAGAAATACGACTGTGGGCGTCCGATGCCGGAGGATGAAGTGTAACTCAAAAGATTCCAGGGCACGCTGGGTTCAGGTCAGTGCAGAGCTGATCTGACTGATCTGATGCTTTTTGCGCAAAGTCGATGCAACCCCCGCCCCAAATCGGAGGATATCAAGCACGGGAGCATGGAAATTATAACATTCAATCCAATACTCAGTGGCATGATTCCACTAGGGTGACCAACTAAGTCACCATCTTTGTGGAATATAAGCCATTATGAAGGCCTCACTGCGTTCAACCTGGTTGCCTGTAGCGAACTACCTGGTCAGCTCAACCTGGAATCAAACAATGAGTTGATGATCAGCACGGAACATGCATGAACACGCTAAACCCACGTCGACTGCCAAGGGACAGCCGCAAGACTCCTTGGAGGATGCAAAGAGCTGTGAATCGTCACGCGAAACCAAAAGGCCAGCAAGTTATTATACAAACAGTACCCTGGGTTTCTAAGACCATTCTAAACATAGGTCGTTCCGTGGCGCAATATGTTCCTTTTCCGCAACAAATTAATTAGTTGATATTGTTCGGTAAGAACCATTAAATCAATGGTGGGTCATGAATCCTAGCAATATGCGTTTTCCATAGGTTCGAAGGACATTCCCAATTTGGAGAGTTTGCATGTGCATGACTCACAGAACACGGACCCGCCAAGATAGGCATACTTGCTTTAACCTTCCAAGGGTAACCCGGGCAAACTTTCCAAACATGCAACCACGCTGCCCATGGATCCTATACTGAAATTAATATCACTGCCTTGTGGGGAGTCCTCGATCGTGATGTGTGCCATCCAAGAATGAACAGGCACTGCCCATTCCAAATGACATGTACCTGTCATTCGCGACCTGGCGCCATTATCCGTGTGCCCATGAACTCCGGAGAAATCCCTTCAAATGTTCCAACTCAGGGCTCAAAAGTAGAAGTCGCACTCTTGGATTTGCTTAAGGAACAATGGCAAAACAACACAGTCAAATATATCAATTCACACTTGAGAGGAGCATAAACAACACAGGAGGACCCACAAGGAGATTCCGCCACAAACCGATTCCCCCAAGCCAGGCGCATCCTCCATCCGCCGAGCGTCTCAATCCCCGCAGTCCACTGAGATGGATCGGAGAGCTCCCAGACACCAACAAAGGCATCACCAGCTCCTCAGCACACCGACCGGTCGGTTTGGATGCCTCGCGTTCGGTCTGACGTTCGTGGGGAGCACAAAAGACCGGGAAGAGAACTGGGGTACTTCGTTCGGCACGAAGTCGGACAAGGACAATCCCCACATCTTGGAACTGCGGGGGAAAGAGGGTGGCAAATGATCCTTTCAGGAATGTACCATTGGAGGCGAGCTACTTCCTCCATGACTTCCTGACTAAGCACCACTCCATCAAAAGCGTAACAGACGTATAGCGTATTGTGCTTCACGTTTGACTTCTAACTTCGGAAGTTTCCGTGGAAAGAGAGTATCCTCTTCAGTTCGTGACCTCTTTGGAGTCTCTAAGTGACCTTGTACAGACCTAAGTGACCTCATCCTGGGATATCAAAGGGTCAAATTGAAGGTCCTGGCTTTTATCATCTTTTGTCACTGGGATGTTAGTAGGGAAAGCCAATCCTCAAGAAGGTTTTGCAGGTTATCCACTCCCGGCGAGGGCGCTGATATCTATCGGCGCGGGGTTTTACTAGTGATTTACATTGATCTACCATCTTTCAACTGTGCAACATGTCCACCTTTTCATGTGTAAAACCAGCCATAAAAATGCCGAACGGTTGCACCTGGTGCGAAGATCCAGGCAGATATGGTTCCATACTGCAGTCCATCGCGTGTCCATCCTCCTCCTCGAACCAGCAATCTGAGTCTCCAGCAATCCGCTCATCACGATCACCAAATCTAACCAGTTCCACCAAACCACCGAACAGTGTCCAAAGAGCAAAGAGGATTCATAACCTCGGCGTAGAGATCCATGCGGTGGCCACGCGCGGTGGCCACACGCAAAACGCAGAGGGGTGGGGCAAAGCATGAAAACACGGGTGAAAAGCACATGGTTTCTGGTTCTCTTCTTTTTTGATTGGATTAGGTGCCATGTTGGGGAGGCGATTTGGAGGTTCACCCAAGGTGCAAGTGACAAAAACACCCCACCCTTTGGTCAGAAGCGTGAACAACCAGCGCCAGCTTGGATTCACTCCCGTTGTCTTCTCTTGCCTCTCAAGAGGAGGCTTAAACCTCTATAAATCTCTGATTTCAGAATATCAATGGCACAATCCCCAATGTCAGTGGCTTCTCCCCTTCTCAGATTTGGGGCTGCCATTCTTCTCACCTCTCCAACCGTAGATGCCCGGGGTGACACAGTTTCATCCTCCGTTCCGAGGCTTCGTGGCCTCAATCATCCGTTCCAATGCCCTCGCCCGCGGCCGAAAGGGGGGAGTTCCGGGTCGCAGGGGTATATCCTTCGAAGGGCCTTCAACCAGCACCGAAACCAACAGGTCTCCGACCTGGAGGCTTTTGTAGACTTAAAAGTCGCAGGTGGTGACCTGTTGGAAGGTCCTGGAATGGATATGATATGTGATATGTCTCTATGAGTCTTTCTCCTCATGAGCAGGGCCCCATGATCAAACCCAGGCCACATACAAGAAAGCGGAGAGTCTAAGCTAGAGTACTCCCTCCCTCTTTTCTGCCCAGTGGCAACAGCCTTTGACGATGAGCTCAAAGCAGTAGAACGTCAAAAAGGCCACGTCGACGTAGATCGACCAATCACCCAGCAGTTTGTCCTCAGTCAACACGAGTACGGTACGGGTCACAGTCACACGAGCCGAGCGCCGGGTCTGTCATATGGACCTGCTGCCAAATAAATCCACTTGGAGTTGAACACTTGCTTATCCAATCTGTAGGGTGCGATTCGTTTTATAGTTCTGGTTTACAGTATTCCGCATGTCCGCGTTCCAGACCCCCACGATCCCCCACATGAATATAGTATAGTACTCATTTCTGAATGTACCCATGGCTACTTTCCTGTGGTTACTTGCGTGGCTACTTGCTTGCTCTGCGTCGTTCTTCATTTGCAGAAACATGATGATCAAATTCACGAGGATCACCTGGAGGCACAAACTCAGGAGAAGACGGAGAAGGCACCGGATGGATGTGGATGTGGGGTCAAAAAGAACCCATGACAAAACAACGCCGTTCTTACAGGTGTCCCCCTGTTCTGCTGAAATGCAGCCTTTACCAAAACGAACGATTTTTGCAATTAGAGAACCAAAACGGATCTCGAACATTCAACCTGTGGGCGTCCTCGAGTCCTCGAAACACCTTCGTCCTCGGAACCCCGGCGGACCGAGGACGGACACAGAAGCGCCCGCGCCATGCTCGAACTCAAACATGCGCTCTCGAGGCGAGAGCTGACAGGCAGGCTGTGAGGACTTCCTGAACGTGAAGAAGACATGGGAAGGATCAGTCCCTTAAGGCTTAGGCCCTAAGGCTTGAGGTCGTGCCTCCTCAGGTTCCGTATGACTGGACGTACCCGAACCTGGCACCCGAACCCCAGTCGTCCCACCGGAACCGAAGCGCTTCGGTACGACTGGAGCCCGGAGTTCAACGGCTCTGTGGCATGGCACCCGTTTCGGAACGGACCCTGTTAGGTGGACCTCCGTCTATTCCGTTCATGTTCTGTGGTCAATCCAGGATCCGCCCGGTGCCCGGTTCCCCGCACCCAGATCGGTTCCCCATATCGGTGATTGGAGACAGAAGGGGTCAAGTGGGTGTCTCCCATCAACTGAAGGTCGAATCGGATTCGGCGATGGATCGCTACATCTCTGCTAGGCCTCCAGTCGTACCTTCTGAGAAGGTGGGACTGGGGCGGGTGCCAAAACGTCGGGTCCAGTCATACCGAACCTGAGGAGGTACGACTGGAGGTGTAGGGCTCACGACTACACGATCTCATCCGCGGATCTCGCCCTTGCCGGGGCGAGTTGTCGCCCATGATGTATCAAGACACTCCATGGGACTGCCATATATGCTTACATTGACCCCCCAAACCACCCCAATGTAGGCATATATGGCAGTCCCATGGAGTGTCTGGGTTATGATCTAGTGAATCTTGGACCAACAAGATCAACAAGGATGTAAACATTGGAGCTAGGCAGCTAGGCTGTGTGGGGGTGTGAGGAGGAAGCAGCTCCCCCCCCGTCCCTGTCCGTGTGTCCAAGTGGCTAGGGAACAAAGCGTGCCTCAGGTGAAAGTCTCGCAATGGTCCCTAGGAAAGACTCCCTCTCATGGTAGGCGTAAGTTCTACTGACAAAGTTCGAAACTCACATGGCATGCACCCGCTGATTTGAGGGGCACAGGCACATGCGGGTTGCAGCTGCTCGTTTCACTGAGAGTAAGCTTTGATATGCTTTGATTGTAATATAGCGGGTTGCTCATTTCTAGTCCAAAATCCAGCTCCAGAACCTTAAAGAAATCTGATGTCAAAAGTCATCCAAAACCTATAGACTTGATCTACAAACCATCCAAGAGCCCAGTCTGACAATCCTCATCGCCCAGGTGCTAAACCACCAACTCTGAACCCATGCAAAGCGGGTATTGACGGGTGCCGTGTCGTCGCCATGCTCCAGCTTCCACAAATCCATCTCTTTATCCTCGGACGAGAGATGAACCGAGCGTGAGTTCCAGCACGAGCAAAGAACATCGCAAATACACCATGGAGTATTGCAATGGTGTTTGCAATAGATTGGTGAACTAACCAATGATATCCAATCTATTGCAATACTACCAGTGTTTGGCAGTGAAAACTATATTGCAATTGATTGTATGTAGCCAGGACCTTTCAACGGTGGTTTTGGGACACCCCTTAACCTCTGAGAGGCTAACCTCTTGGAAGGTCCTGGTACATGCAGTAGTTGGTTCTCAATTCTACCTGTCAGGTCAGGCAGCGGCAGCCGCAGCAGCAGCAGCAGCAGCAGTAGTAGCAGTAGCAGCAGTAGTAGTAGCAGCAGTAGCAGCAGTAGCAGTAGTAGCAGTAGTAGCAATAGTAGCAGTAGCAGTAGCAGTAGGAGTAGTAGTAGTAGTAGTTGTTGTTGTTGTTGGGAGTTTTCCGGGCAAAGCCCCCCCAAAAGGCTCATGCAAATTCATGCACTCGTTTGTGGAATTTGTGGCCCACGTCACCAGTTCTCCCCCCAAAGGGCCCCAGGGCAGGGCAATGCAGCACCTGGACAAAACAGGACGAAACCATCAAACATTCTGAACTCTGTGGAATCAAAACAATCCAAACAATCCCCAGACACGACCCATGGGACTGCCATGTCGGACTTCCGCCGCAAACAAACCCCCCCCCCGGCACCACCACCACCGTCAAAGGCCGTGAAACTCGGCAGTTCGAGCACTTGACCCCATTGTTTCGCACATCGGATCGGGGTGTGACCACCCCACGCGGGGGGGGGTTGGAAGCGTGTGGGAAGGGATTCAACGGATGAGTCCACGTGCATCTCATACAGAGTAGCAGTGGACGATGAAGTCCAGAACATCAAGTCCTGCTCGAGCCATCTACAGACCCTTTTTTTTGGGGGGGGTCTAAGCTCCTTCAAACACACTGAGCCTTTGGACTTGCAGGGGTCTAGCCCAAAAGTGCTGCCAACATTCCCACCGGAGCGAAATAAGGACGTCCAACCGTTCGGAGCGGGCGCCCGCCACACCTGAACCCCAGCTCCGTCTTTCGGCTCGGCGGCGTGGATGCGGCCCTGGGTGAGCCACAACTCCTCCTCCAAGGGCGACTTCCTAGCTTGAAAGGCCCGGTCGACCTGGTCGGAGCGGGTGGAGGTGGCGCACTCGGCGTAGGGGCAGCAGCGAAGACCGGAAGTGTCGGAACACCCATGGTGCGCAGTAGTTTTGGAGTGGAAAAGCTAAGGGCATGGTAACCCTCCATCTACAGCACCGCACTTGAAGCATTTAGTGTGCCAGGCAGTTCCACCCACGCTCTTTGGGCTAAGGATGGCACATGATGGCACCCATTCCACATGAAGCATTTGCTTTAGCATGCTTTAGCCGAGTTCCAAGCATTTCCTTCTGGTAGGGACTGGGTTTGGTCTACATCTATAGGACCTGAGTGATCTCCATTGTGCACCACCCAAGGAGGAGCTCAAGACCCTTCCAATTCGGGTTTCCAATCTCCGGATGGACGGATCCTCCTTAGGGACGGTTTCCTCAAGTGCTCCAGGGTTTGAAAACACCTTGGAGATCAGAATCCATTCCTGATTGGACCCGTGATGGCTTGTGATTTCTGACGATGTGCCGCAAAATAAGTCAGTGTAGATAGTGGAAGTTCAGGGAGGACTCTCAATCATTCCAAATCAAATCCATGGATTTTGACTACATATTGCGAGCAATATCCTGCACTGGTTCAGGTAGGCCCCAAAAAGTCTCTCAAAAACCAAACTTTTCACCATGCTCCCTTCTCTCCATACTATATGTGATCTTTTGTGAGCTTGGATGAGCTGAACATTTCCATGTGACTCCATGTGTGTTTTCTTTGGATGTTCGGCATGATTCCTTACTTCCCGCAAGCTCTTGTCAGAGCAGCCATGTCAATCTGGAAGAGCAAATCTGTTTCTTGGTTCCTCAACTCCTCGCACAAAGCCCGGCCGAAAAGCCCGGGAGCCATACATGGAGGGCATCCCAAACGGGCCTAACACAGTCCAACCACATGCTCTTTGGAGCTGTGATGAGCTGTCATGCGAAACATGTCTTGCGCTCTTCACTTGGTGCAACAGGAAACTCTCCAGTTCAACTTTTGGATTCCAACGTTTGATGAAGGGGCCACTCTCAGATGCAGCAACTTACAAAATTTGACGAAGAGTCCATGGCTGAAATTGCGGGAATATGGCGGACACTTGCGGACAGCATGTTGAACACCTCACAAACACTTCAGCTTGACCAGGCTGCCTTTTGAAGCCCAATCCTTGGCAAAAACCTGAGAAAAATACCCTTCACCAACATATTTTTGGTCCAATTCTACCTCTCCGGGCACGTAGCATATGTCATTTTTCCGATGTTTCCCCCTAAATACTGTGTTTTTTGTCCCGCATCACACTTTTCCTTGGCATATCGCACGATCTTTTTTGAATCGGGTGGTCCAGGTCTCCAAAAATCACATGAAACCAACGCCCCAGTTCCGAGCCATGCCTGTCGCGTGCAACAGAATCAGATGCGAAGCCTTCCCAACTGGAGCTGACCATCGAGAGATCTCGAGATGAACTGAAATGCCCAGCACTGATGTCCACATGCGAACAAAAACAAATCCACAACAAAAAAGCACACACACACGCATCGACACGCTCCCAATTTGATGCGCTGCATCGTGAGAACAAACACAACGAATCTCCTCGATCTCGACGCTGATGGCTTGGATCGCGACCTCCGACTGGCTTCGGTGGAGCTCGGGGTCCTCGCCTGGGGCGAGCCGGGGCGTCCAGCGACGATCGACGTGTCGGGTGGCCAGTCCCACCCAGCCACTTCCGTGGAGTCACTTCCGTGGCTGGATCTCAAGCTGGCGCCATATTGGGTTCCAACATGTTCCAACTAGTTGTTCATTTTTTGGGATGGGACTGCTTCTTTTTCTTCAGGAAGTTCTTCCAAGATCTTCCAAGTGATCTGGTCCCACCGAACCAACCCCTCAAACATGAAAGGAATCCTGGCCATGGAGAGAATGAACAGGTCGAAGAACTGCAGGAAGAACTAGAACACACCAGAATGACATGTACGTGTTAAAAAAACAAAAAAAACTTCCCCCCCCCAACATATATAAGACCCTCCTGGCCAGGCTGTTTGGAGACCCTAACAGGTGGTGAACCTGGGCACCGGACTTGTCACCAGGAAGCACTTGTGAAGTCGGGTCCAGGTACACCAGGTCTTCGCATCACCATGGAGGGTTTTTTTTCATCGGTCACCAGGACTCACGACGCCTTGCGCTCTGATTGAACACTGAAAAGCTGGGCGAGGCATGTCCCTTGCCACGAAAGACGGGTTTGTGTGTGGGGAATGTCCGAAATGCCAGGAGTGTGAGTTACGTGTCGAGACGAGAGGGGCGCGGTAGATTGACCCTAAAGACCGGCGTTTTAGTATCCGAAAGCCTTCATCTCGCTGAACTGAGCACTTACATTCACATATTGTTAATACCTGGAACCCCAAACAACCAGAAACAAATGGTTGTTCCAATATGGCAATTGAAATCCTTTACATAGCACATGGTTGTTTGGGGAAACATCAATTTCTTTCTGGTTGGGACTGGGGTTCCAGGTATGTGTATATAAATTTATATATAGAGAGAGCAATATAAATCGAAATGTTGGAATGTGAAAATTCCATGGAGTGTCTGGGATGTCTTGCCCAAAACTCACCCTCCGCGTTTGGGTGCACTTGGCTTGGCTGGGGCGAGGCTGGACTCCCCAGGCTCGCGATCGGTCCGTTGGGAGGGTCTTTGCTGCTACTGGCGGCCCTACACATCGATCAAAGTCGATGACCGCCGGGTTTGGCGAGCCTGTCTTTGGCACGCCGGAACTGGTTCCCCACTCCCCAGAGATGAAGCCACAACAAAGGAAGGGCGCACTCCGTGGAACAATCGTGACTACAGGGATGGCCCGCTTTGTACTCCACGAAGCCATGAGAATTTCAGGGAGTGGATATTATCGGATAGATCAAGTGAATCAAATGTTGATTTGTCCAGTTTTGAGACAAGTACATGGTGGTGCTAACACATGTCGGGCAGCTGGCGAATCAAGAAGGAGTCATAACTGTTCATCTGGAAAGCTTCACCATTAAAGAATTAAAACACCAACCAAAAACGCACAAATCCAAATTTATAGACTGGCTAAACTAAACTGTTGCACTCCTTCCGCGCCATGGAAGATCTTCCATTTCACCATGTGGGTTTCTCCAAATCCCGAATCACATGGATGTCCCCTTCCCAACCACTACCTATGGAACCCAAAACCTACGAATTTGTCGTGTCTGATGGAAAACATCGTGTTTTGGCTCCACTTGACTAGAAACATTGTGTTTCTGTCGACACATCGCTTTTCCAAAAGCACTAAGTTTGGAACCCGTATAAAAACCGTAGAAAACCCATAGAAAACCGTAGAAAACCCGTAGGCAATCGTATCGTTTTGAGGAAGTCAACAAAACTCGAAGTTTTCTTTAAAAACCTCGTGTATTTTCAGGGTATGACATCTTTAGGGGTTCTTGGTTCTCTAGGTAGAATGGATTTCAAGCAAGCCATTTTTTGGGTTCCAACGTATTCCGACCATTCTGCAACAAAGGTTGAAGAACTGTATAATTATATATAAACATAACCCAGTTCGGTACCCCAGGTGATGGGTCCCTGACCACAGGTCACCCTCTAACCTCTTTCACCTCTCTTGCTTGCGGAAAGGGTTCCTGGGTCAGACCTGGCCAAAAACTCCATGGGACTACCATAGGACTGCCGCCCCAGACAGAACCCCCCCGCTTTTCCACCACCACCTCAATTATTCGGCACATCTTACCAAACGTCGATCGCGCGTCTGGCACCCGATCGAAGCGGCTGCGTCCCAAGTCTCTGGTCTCCAGCACTTCCAGCTTCCGATAGCCGGCCGGGCCTTCCATCCACCGCCCACGCGAACCGCACGGTTGGGATGGGCGCCCTCCCCCAACGAACCGACGACGGTCTCGGTTTCGGCGGTCGCTCCCACAACGACCGTCTTCCACGCAAAGGACCCCGGGACCGGGCATCCGACTGTAAGTACGAGTGCCGGAGTGCCGGAGTCTAGTCTTGGCCTGGACCAAACTGCCAACATCAACAGAATAACTCCGGATGTGATCGAATTGGATGAAGTTCTTTGGATCATTGGATGATGCTCACCTCATTGATATTGCAACCATTCGTTGTGGGATTCCTACCACCATTGAAGTGCTTCTTACCCCCCAAAAAAAACATCCCAAAACGTTGTTTTACTAAAGATTTTGCACTTAGTCAAAACCGGAAGCCAACCAATTTTCTTGAACGGGTGACTTGGAAGCTGCAGGGTTTGTTTACAGTCCACGCGCCGAGGTGCGGCTAGGTGCTCATTCAGCATGCAATTTTCCAGTCACAAGCTGAGGTTTTGAGAATGCGCGCGCGAGTTTAGGCGCGTTATTTTTTCCGTGTGCTTTGGGCGCTCATAGCTACAGTGCGCCTATACCATTTGCTGACAAAAACATATAAGATCCTGGAGTCAATACTAACGAAGAGCAACATTCTTGAATGTGCTTGGATCAAACATGATCAAACATCTCTCTCTCTCTCTGTGAATGCCACCATGTCTTGCGACCGATCTCAGGTGCTGCGGATGGGGAGACCTGATTCATCCAACTCCTCCTCGCCCCCAACTCCCCGACCAAACCAGCCGCTTCAGCCTTCAGCCCCTAGCCCCTGCACATCGCACCTCCATCGTCTTCTCGGAATTGCACCCGAGCTTCTCGGTCCATGGCCGATCGGATCCGATCGCTCCCCCCGCCCACCACCGGTCCCCGTTTGGGCGTGACGGTGCGGGACGTCGGGCCAAGCACTGCGGGTGCGGGCGATTCCCAGGTGGTGTCCCTGAAGATGAACCGAACAGACGACCAGGGAGGTCAACCTATACCAAGGATTAGAGGGTCTTGACCCGAAGATTATGAGCCAACAAGAAGGGCAAGTGAATGCATTATACAGTTTCCCGTGCAGGAATGCAGCTCCCAATTCTAGCTGCTGATGTAGACTCTCTGAAATAGGTAGCCGGTATATATATAATTTGGAACATCGTCATCGCACGCCATTTTCCATACCTTTATGTTTTCCTCCGGGAGTGTGTACGTTACCCCGAGCATACAAACCATATCAAGAAAGGTTGAGAGACCTGAACTTGGACCCGGCTCGCTAGTACACATGGGATAAGCTGTGGGGATGCGAAGAAAGCACAGCTTAGATCATGAACAAGGGGTCACCAACCCAGACACGACCCGTCTGGGACTGCCAGGACGGACTGCCGCCCCAAACAGACCCCCCTTTTCCACCACCACCCCGGTAGGCCGTGAAACTCGGCAGTCCGCCCTGGCAGTCCCAAACGGGTCGTGTTTGGGCAACTAGACGACATCCCGACTTCTGGGACCAGATACCCGGCCAGATGATCCCCAAGGACCATTCATAAATGGTTGACCTGGCTTTTGTAGTGTCAAATCCTTAGTTGATTCGGGATTCAGCCCCTTAAATGAATGGTGGGTCAGGAAGCTTAGGGATATGAGTCAGAGGGTCCAATCATTTGGCTTTGAAAGCATCGATCCGAAACCCATGCGAAACCATCCTTCCCTGCCACCTGTCGGAGTCTCAGCTCAGGGAGACCTATGGGGGGCTGCAACCTCGCCAAGCACCTCGCTAAGCACTCCTTCCTCCAGGTACGCGGCTCTTCTGGCAAACTAGCTCAACCACGCGAACGAGCCAACCTCGCGGCCCTTCGGAATTCTTCCGGGGGTCTTGATTTAGTGAAGCTGGATCTCAGTACGGGCCATATGAAGGATTGAAGACTGCGCCGGCAA